ACACCCACACCCACATCGAAACCCTGTGTGCAGATGTTCCTTTCATTAACATCCACACCCCACACCCTCAACAGAATTTTGATAGAAGTTTATGTTTAGAATTTAAAAAAAGCAACAGAATTCTGTTGTCCAAGATACATCTTTCATGTATATCGACACCATACATATTTCACACACATTGCCTTCGATGAAACAGAATTCTATTCAGAACCTATAAAAACAAGAACAGAATTCTGTGGTTCGATATACATGTTTCATATACATTGCCTTCGATACAACAAAATTCTATTCAGAATTTAAAAAACAAGAACAGTGTTCTTACATATAATATTGTTTATATTTCACTAAGGGTGTGGGTATGGGTTGTGGGTTTGATTCTTTCTTCCATCCATACCCCACATCCACACTCCCACTCGCACCCAATGGTTAGAAAATTTCTCTCAGTCAGGTCACAGGATACGAAAAAATCTTATTCTGAACGTCTTTAGTTTGTGCTGCTGTTTTTCACAAAGTAAGTCAATGGATTGGACGTTTATTCCATATGGTCCAAATCAAATAGGAAAAAACTGGCTAAAAAAACGGCATGTTTAAATATTGTAAGTAAAAGTATTAATCAGTAAACATGAATACGCACTCCATAGAATGACTGTTTAATTAAACGTATTCTCACAAATCGGTACAAAAACTTCTATACTGTAGGACGTGATCATCAACTAGTATAGTCATTAATAGAGGAGAGTAATGAGAAATGAAATAATTTTGTTTCATGGAAATCATATAGAAATGAAAGTTAAGAATATGACATTCGATCGATGTACAACTATAATGGTAATATAATAGAAATCTCGTGGTTGTGATTGTAGATAATCTGTTAGTTTGAATGTAGATATGGGTGTGATCTTCTTTGCGCTCACATCTTTACTAAATCCTTTGAACTGGCTAAATGAGGATGTGTGAAAAATGTAAATTTCTTTGTTAGTGCTATTTGCAGATTTCAAGTTAATTTTTATCAAATGTTAAGCAATATTTGGAAATTGAAGCAAACAAAATAGTGTTAACTTTTATTGCAATCAAGATTATGACTCCACTATACTATTTCAAAAAGAAACTTTTCTTGAAATTCTATATTTACTTCATGCTTCATAATAAAAGATAACAGTTTTTCAGATAAAATGTAAAAGAATTTTTATTTTACTTTCATTAGTTATAAAATAATATTCATTGTTAACGTAAATGAAAAAAATATTTTGATGGAACAACACAGATAGATTTATAAACAAGTTCTGAAATAAAATGTTCACAGCTTCCACTAAGGATAGTTTTTTCTTGAATAGGCTTTCCTTTTATTATGCGTGTAGTGTCTTGTTTTCTTTGTTGATTGAGATTGCTGTTTATCCGTTATTTGATTTTGTTTTATTAAACATTGATCTATAAATTGTGTTGAATTAACATTTGGAACACTTTCAATCCACTGTTTCCATAAATTATTTGATATTAATGTACGTTTATTACCAAAAACAATCATTGCACATTATGCTCGTGTCAATAGAACATTCATACGTTGTTCATTGATTAAGAATCCAATTTCATTTTCATTATTTGATCGAACTAAAGAAATAAGAATAATATTTTTTTCTCTTCCTTGAAATCCATCCACTGTTCGGATTTCAACACCTTTCGGAACTTGAATAGTTGATAATTTTTCAACAATTTCTTTGACTTGTCGTGTATAAGGTGTTATAATACCAATGTCCGCTCTATAATAAAATTAAAAATAAATAATTTAACAAGAGAAAAATGAAAATATTTTACGGTAATAAATTTGGTTGATGACGTGGTAATAATGTTTGAATGGTTTGACAAATTAAGTCAACTTCTTGTTTATTATAAACAAGTAACGCTCGTCTGTGTGACTCGCTTAACCCTCGACTGAATGTTTCACTGCATCAGCAGTTGTTTATTACTGCAGACATTTTGCAAAAGGTAGCATCGGGCATTTGCACATGGCTTTGTGCTAGTGTCAACATTAGTGTACACATGTGTCGGCGTGTATAATGCTATTGGTACCGTTGTAATACTGCTAGCTATAACATTCGTTCATTTAATCTGTTACTCTATCAATAACACTCAAAAGAAATCTACGTGACCCACACTGACACAGCAATATCCTCAAGCCACGAAAAAATAGTATATTCGATTTTCAGAGAAAATCAGCAGACAAAAAATATCAGCGTGACTGCAGTAAAGATGCACTACACTTCACGCAAACTGTATTAATAATGCGCATACTCATAAACACATAGGCGGGCAATATCGCTGACCGGTACCCACTACGAAAATGCATGTTTAGCGTAGCTATCAGACTAAAAAGCTATATTTGTTCAAACTAATATCCGGCATACGCAAGTTGAATCAGGCTTCAACTCTGAGTCTTTGTGAGATTAAATAACGAATTTTAAATAGCCGGAAAAAAAATTTGACAAGTCAATGGGCAGATGACGTATCTATGAAGATAAAGGATTATTAAATTCCATTCAAGTCCACTTTTGATGATTCGATGCAAATTGTATTATTGACGCTTTTCAGGAAATGTTCGATTCCGATATTGAAGATCTCCAACACACTCGTTCTCACACTTCATTCAAATACACTTGTTAACCCTCTTGCCAGTTCTTCCTCCCATGAATCCTAGTAAGATCTAAGTGCTAGAGATCCTTCCAATGGATTAGAAGTTTAAAAGAATTCTATTCAAAGGATTTTTTAGGGCAGCAGCTAGTCACTCGTCGGCATCCGAGTGGGTCGTCACGCGCAACTAATTGCTGTTATGCATCGTTCTCTTCCAGTAATTATATAATCATGCACTGTTATTTAAATTTTACTGGATTCTAGATTTGGATTAGTTTCAAAGCTGCCTATATTTATCGCATGAGAAATCCCAAAGTGAAAATACTTGTGAACTATTCCTTATGCGTTTCAATCCTTTACCTAGCTAGTCAATCTAAGATTTCATGGAGCTCGCCATCGAAAGAAGCTTAAGTATATGATTTCACACAAAAAACTAGCTTAATAGACCATATCTCATACCAAAAAAATTGTGAAATAGAAATAGAAGCTACTATATTTCACTGTCGGAGTTCCGACGTGGCGCTATTCACACTTAGCTACTACTATCTTTGAACACATATTCTCAAATGACTACTTTCTTATTCAAGGCATGACTAATCCACATTTCGACTGCTTCAAAAGCTTCTCTACTCGTAACTAAAGGGCACTAGATTTCCTATATCCAGCAAGATATCTATTAAATATATACGTGTCGTCTCTCGAGTTTCTCCATGTTTATAGGAGTCCTTCTCTACATAAAACGTCACATGTTAAGTCTCTGTGGCACTTTTTTAAGGACCTTGCTTGATGTTATGCAGAAATGTCGTAAAACAGATTTGAATAAACCTAGTTTAGAGGCAGCTATTCGTTCGCCGTCCTTCCGAAGGAACGCCATTCACGGCTATCCGCTACTTCCAGCTACTTTCACTCACGAAAGGTTGATACCATTTTCAAAATCGAGCCATCGTTAGGGGTGGCACTTTCCGTTCCTTTCCTAAAAGAAAGGAAAGTTTTTACTTTCCTTTCTTTTAGGAAAGGAAAGCGTTTACTTTCCTTTCCTAAAAGAAAGGAAAGTTGAAGGAAAGTTAACTTTCCTTTCCTAAAAGAAAGGAAAGGAAAGTGAAACCTTTAGGTCTTCAAGTCCTATATAATAAGGGTACCCTTAGGACCTCAAGCCCTATATAATGAGGGCACCCTTAGGTCCTCAGGCCCTATATAATGGGGGTACCCCTAGGTCCTCAGGTCCTATATAATGAGAATACCTACAGGTTCTCTAAGAGTACCATATAGGAGTACCCATAGATCCTCAACGGCTGTTTTATAGAGATTCCCGTTCGATACTCCTATATAATAGCTCTTTAGGACCTATGGGTACCACTATATAACAGCTCTTCAGGACTCATGTGTACCCATAAATGATAGGACTTGAGGATCTAGCCCAAGAAAAAAGAGCTGATAAGAAAATCCAAAAGAAGGTGAAAGAAAGTAAAAAGAAAGTAAAAGAAAGTAAAAGAAAGTAGAAAAAAAGTAAAAAGAAAGTTAAAGAAAGTAAGAGAAAGTAAAAAAAAAGTAAAAAGAAAGTGAAAGAAAGTAAGCATTCAGGTGAATAATAGCTGTCAATTTTTAAACATTATATGCCTTGGTTTTTTTCACTTTTGAAAAGCTTTTTTTGAGTTGAGAATTACACGAAACATGAATGACACGCTTGCTCCATTCACACTGGAAACTTCGATATATTTTTATTACAGACCACATGCTAATCTCTCTTAATTATAATGGTGTTTTTGAATAATATAACTAGAAGGAGAGAGAAAGATAGGAAGGAGAAGTACAAGCGCATAATAAGTTTTCAAAGTTTATGTGCATCTAACTAAGGGGTCAAACACACTAGAAAAGTGAATTAATGTTAAAGTTGAATTAAGCAA